GAAGTAAACGGTATGCGATCTGCAGACCTGGCAGAATGAATGTGTTGCAGAACCAAATGCTATTTTTTATTTCTATCGTATATTTTCCCCATATTCAACAATCTTAACAAAGAGTTCCAAGCTGAAAGCTCTCGTTTGCCATACTTATATGCAACTATGAAAGGACATTATCTCTTAGTTTTGAGTAACTTTCTTAAAAAAGATGCGATCAGTAACATATTAATGTTGATTTTAAAAATTAAAATACTCATGTTAAAATATCTGAAATTTCTGTTGGAACGAAAGCTGAGATGTTTATGAAAAGTAAAGTCAATGTATGTTTTAGGAAAAAGTTTATTCTAATAAAAATGGAATGAATGAAAATAGCTTCATGCATCTCGCCAATTTTGTTTTTAATATAATTTCATTACCCTATAGCTCTGCTGCTGTAGAACGCAAATTTTCAACGGTTTCTTTGATAAAAACTAAACTAAGAAATAAACATAAGATTGACAGTATCAATAGCATAATGTTATGCAAGGATCTTTGTAAACAAAAATGGCCCGCACTATGTGTGGTCAGCTGCAAAAGATTTGCATGTGTAATTAAATGATTTAAATTTACTTTTAAGAAATTAAACTTATTGGTACATAACATGTACATATTTATATAATTCATACGACCAAGAAACGTTAAATGATCTCATCTCTGTGCCTAATGAGCTGTTTTTGCTTACGCGTAAAAGCACATTTAGCTCTAAATGCTACTCTAACAGGTCTATTCTAAAGTGGTAATAAAATTTACTTTGGTACTAAAATTTACCTTTCGGTAACTTTTGTTCCTATTCCGTATTCTGAGTTCGCTGTTACTTGGTAAATTTTGTTACCTACGAAATAGGAGGTAACAAGCAATCAGCTGTTTAGTTTTGCATTTTTCACTGAAATAAAAAGTAACACAAAAATGTACAGACAAATTCTGCGTCTACTGATTATTGAGGATCAGGAAAAATATATAAGAAGAGACATGTTGAGAAGTTTGCGGGAAAGAAACGACCCCTTTAATTTAGAAGACAACCGTTTTATACAACATTTTCGGCTAAAGAAATCCATTTGTTTAGAGCTAATAAATGAATTGGCACCATATGACAAGTAAGTATGATAAGTAAGATGCTAATTTTTATGAACAATTTATTAATAGGAAATCATTTCAGGCAGAAGACATCGTTGCCATTTTATCTAAGATTTCTAGCAACCTTATATTTTTTTTCTCACGGGTCATACCAGAAATGTGTCGGTAGCAATTGCCTAACTGTTATGAGTCAATCTGACCGCGAAACAGTCACTCCATTACATATCGGAGTTGATTGTAAAAGTCAAAGGCAGGGAGATTTGCTTCCCAACAGCGAACGAGACACAAACGCAAAAAAACGAGGGTAGGAATTTTCTAATATTATTTGCGTTCCAGATGCTTCACGATTTGCAGGTTTTTACAGGAAGCCGTTCCAGGTGACCACCTTCCATAAGGTTTACTAATGGAGAAAACAGCTTTTCCTGCAAATCATGTAAAACCTGCAAATCGTGAAGCATCTGGAACGTAGCTATTCCTCATATTTCTCATTAATTTTTCAATTTAACTATTTACAGATTTTTAATCGGAATAATTAGATAATTTTCGGGTATGCAATTTTGTAGCCCATTCAGTTTTAGTGTTGATTTTTTTGTGGGGGTGCTGCGGATTTTCTTCCATATAACGCATAATGAAAATCTATTTTTATGTAAAAAAAATCCGCAACACCCTCCACAAAAAAATCAACACTAAAACTGAATGGGCTACAAAACTGCATTCCCGAAAATTTTCTAAATATTCTGATTAAAAATTTGGAAATTTGATGAAAATGTTTTTAAGTTTGAGTAATTTTTTGAAATTTGTGCAAGGTTTTAAACTTTTATTTATGTATTTGGTTTCTGGGATAAATTGAAGCATGTTTTAAATTAAAATTATTAAAAATAAATAAACAAACATATAAGTTCTGCATAATATAATTTTGAATTTCGATGCTAATTAGTTGACCGCAGGTATACGTGTACCTGTTATGTATTTATGTATCTGTATATGTATACCAGTGGCGTAGCCAGGATTTCGCGAAGGGGGGTTTAAAAAATTTGCATCGATAACTTAAAGTTGTGATACACAATGGCTAGAGGCGTCGCCTGTGGGCATTCTTTCATATATGTATGTATGTCACATACAGTATGTGCCATTTTTACCGTTATATATTTTTTGTCTACTCGATTATTCCATGGGGAATTCCTACTTTATTTAAATTTAAAAAATTAAATTACTACACCATTTTAATTAATTAGTTTGTAGTCCACCCTGCAGGGAGTGACGTTAGCTTATACCTAACTTTAGTCTGTTTACGCGAACACTAGTGCTAACTATTAACTGTGTATTTTGTTCGAAAAAAGCTAACTACTTTTGTGGGGCGATGGCCGCAAAAAAGTCAGACCTGGATACCTCTGCATTACATGTCAACTAACTTGTAACTAACTACTTTTGGACATAAAATATCAATAAGAAAAACAAAATATTTTTTTGTTTTTTTACTTTTTTATTTACTTATTTAATTACTTTATTTTATTACATTTCATATTTGTTTACATATTCGGCTCTGGGTGGCCCCATATTCGAACACCGTCAGACATAACTTCAAAATGATAGTATAAAATTTCGATCTTCCTTTTATTTGTCCTGAATATGAAAAAGAATCTGCGAAGTTCAGAAA